CATATTCTCATCCCTACCTAGCACGAGGCCTTTTGGGAGCTCACTGGCTTCGGGTTCCATGGGAACTCCGAAGTTAAGCGAGTAGCGCACGAGAGCACTCCCAGGATGGGTGACCCATCGGGAAGTTCTCGTGTGAGTTCCCAGAAACAAAACCGTGAGGGCGTGGTCGGGGCCCAAAGCGGACAATATCGTGTTACGGTGGTGGAGCGGGCATGGGGAGTGGTCCCCCCCGGACCGGGATGTGACAATTTGGGCGGGGATGTGACAAGATATACAATACAATAAAAGTGCCCCTTCATTTATTGTAAAATTGACTAATTCGTCAAAACTAAACAGCTAACTCACAACAATATCCAGTGTCAAGATTCGAAGACATGCCAATGCCATGCATCAAGGTGACCGCATTTTTGCATATCACCCTCAAGTGGTGGTAATGATCACCACCTTATTTATCACCGTTAGATGTATTTAAATTTTGAGATTTGTATCTATCCACTACACAAATCTCGAAATTTAAACATATTTAACATTGATAAATAGAATAATGAACATACATCATAGTTTATAATGATGAGTAAAAATGTTTCTAGTTAAATATAGAATTTGCTTTTTTCACATTACTAGGTAAGTTCCCAAACATCTCCCATTTCTCTCTCCTCTCTCCTAACTCCAAGTCATCTCCCATTTCTCTACCCGTGTCTCCATACTATTCCCAGTCATCTAGCATTTCTCTCTTCTCTCTCCTCTGTCCTCTCTCTACTCCCATTTGTCTCTTCTCTCTTCAATGGCAGAGCCAGAAACTACTTCTAGGAGAGGCCTTTAAGACATATAAAAAAATTAAATTTTTTTCATTGGCGTGGAAAAAAATTTATAAAACAAGAGTAATGTGCCCTTAAAATTTTTATGAAGAATTTAGTATTAAGATGATTCTATTATAAGAGTAGAATTTAAATAAAATAAAAGGAAGATTCGAAGAAAAATTTAAGATCATAACTCAAAACTATTGTTATGAGATTTTGCCTTTGTTTTATATGAACTGACACAAAAAGAAGTTACTTTTAATATGGTAAATAAGTTTGGTTTTATGAACTGATAGAAAAAGAAACTAGTTTTTATATGGTTTAGCTTAAAAAAAAAAAATATATATATATATATATAAAACTAGGTTTTATATGGTTTAGCTTTGAAAAGAGAAAAAGAAAGAAAAGGCTATCAGTTTCAAAAAAACCAATATAGGTTGTTGACAAACAGAAGTTCCGCACCCATGAGGAGATGGTATAGTCAAATTCCACTCACTATTTGCAGTACTAGCTGTAAGGAGTGGCAGACACACAAACACACTCACGTACATTTCGGAATAGGCCTAGGCCTAGCGGTCCCATGTGGCTCCGTCCTCGTCTCTCTCTACTACCGTTTCTCTCTTCTCTCTCTACTACCATTACGCTCTCTGTGTCTCCATTAGTATTCCCAGACATCTACCATTGAACAAGACTTCGCTGCTGCTAATATCCAATCACAGGTGAGCATATGTCTAAATTTTAATTTTTTTTAATCAAAACTCAGAGATATGTCTACGTGTGATAGGCCATCAGCAGCAGCTGATCTTTGAAGTTGTTTCCTCCACCATTTCTCTCTCCTCTCTTTACAACCATTTCTCCCTCCTCCGCCCTAATTTCTTTCTCCTTTCTCCTCTCATTTCTCTCTCCTCTCTCCCCTCTCTACCGCCTTACTCCTCTCTTTACTGCAAGAAATTTTTAGTTGTAATAGAAACACAGATAATACATTATATATTTTTACGTAAGTAATGACAAATTTTAATTTTTAAGTTATTAACTTTTTAACACATATATCCCACTATTTATATAGAAATATGTTGTGTACCGTTTCATGATCACACTGAAAAATCTCTCATCTCTATCCTCTCTACCATCATTTCTCTCTCATCTCTCTACCATCATTTCTCTCTCTACCAAGACATCTGCCATTTCTCTCTCTACCCAGACATCTGCCATTTCTCTCTTTGCCTGTCTATATATCTGCATGCAAACCATTTCTTGAGCATTCAAATACTACTTCCATTCGAACCATCAAATCTCACAAACCATATCATCATCAAGTAGACCTCCCGATATATCTCCATCTCTACCTACCTTTGTGCATAATAAAATGAGTTTTGTTGTTAATACTGCTTGGGATCAGTACTTAAAGCCTTTTCTCCTTGCAGTTACAGTAACACCAACTCAACAACTCAAACTTCTGATAATTGGTCCCATCGATCGAGATCACGATTCCGATCGTGACCTAGAAGCCGCAAGACAAGAAGTTGCAGACGGGAGTACTAACAATAAGTATGACAACAACAACTTACATTGGGCAACAATAATCGTAGTGTTTTGCTTTGCAATGACGATTGGAATAGCATTTCTCCCATTCCAAGGTCCCTCCGGCCACCTCCATCTCCCTGTAACCTTTTACTTTCTTGGACTCTCAGTTTTACTTGCCTTCACTTGTATTCTGGTAAGCAAGTTTATTCACTTCAACTACTGTCCCGTAAGAATAACAATTGCCCCGATTTCCATCAACTTGGCATCTTCTTTGGGGTCACAGCCTTTTTCATATCCATCTCCATCCCATTTCCTTTGTGGTTCAAATGTGCTGCCATGTCTATCTACGTTGTCACCTTCCTCCTTGTAGTTCTCTGCAATCTTCACTTCAATAAATATTACAAAACTCATGGTTTTAAGTATCCTAACCTCGCCATTAATCCTGTAGCAGAATCATGCGGAGGTAGTACTAGCACCATTGATGATCAAGCATGTACCAATCATATTGAGTGACGAGAAAAAACTGTCATGTAATTAGTGTGTGTTATATACACACACACTAATTAGTGTACTGCAGTACTAGTAGCTTTCTCATATTTGTCGTAGGTTTTTCAAATGTCAACTATTATTTATTCTGTTTGGGGTTTAGTTGTCTGCAGCCTCTTACTAATGCTATGTTTCATCAAATCTAGTTAGTTAATAGTTACTTCTATATATTTCTTTTAGTGAACGTATTTATAGATAAATTAAAGAACAAATGTTGCATAATATGCCCCTATCATTGAAGAAGATTACAGCTACAACTGAAATGATGGACAGCCGGAAGCCCTTTAACAAACTTACCAATTGTCCTAATAAAAGTCCATTACTTTCCACTTGAATATTCATTCCAATGAACTGAATTTTTTTTCTTTCAAAATCATTGAAAAGCTTTCGAAACATCACTATTCCCGGAATTTAGATCCACCATCTTAGTCTGGCAAATACCCAAAACCATGGCTATTCGGTTCTACTATATACCATCTTCGAGAAGTTTCTTAGACTAAAATTCTAAATTCTCATATATTGGTCATCTACGTTCGACCAAAAATTGAGAGGAATTTGCATTGGAGATGACCCTTAATAAAAGATTTTGGACCGACCTCTCTCTCCCCTAAGAATAAACAATTTAACACACTAACGCTGTCATTTGTAACAAAAAAATTAGTCATAACTATGTTTGTTCAAATTTATTCGGACTTATTTTACTCTGAACATGAGCGATACATGTTGTATTCAATCTAAATAGTTGTCAAAAGGACGACATGACGTAAAAAAACCATGTACGTCTCTTGAAACGATATCGTATGCAGCCACAGTTTTTAGGGGAAATCGAAAAGTCGTGTTACATCGAATGATGGGAAAGGTGAGGGGGAAATTTGGAAAATAACAAAACTATGGACCCTATATAGAATATAATTACCTTTTTAAGTTTATGATAATTATAATTAAAAGTTGATATGAAAGTATTAATATACCCTTAATGACTAAAATCCTCCTCTTTTACTCTTAACCGTGAAGCCCCGTTTCTTTCATCCCTCTAATTAGAATTGAATCAGCTTCATGACTAAGTTGGATTAGCTTTACTTGGACTAAGCACTAAATAAATAGTGAAGCTAGCCTCCCTATCCGCCTTCGCCACTCCATTTTTTTGCAAGTCGACTTTTGTCTTGTAGTTGTTGAACCCAATCAAGTTTATCCGCCTTCTGTTTCAGACGGTTGTTCACGACGTGGGGCGTGAACTGACGAAGTTGAAAGGACAAAGATGATTGTAAATGGCAGTAAAAAGACATTTGATCCTTATTTTATTTATTTATTTTTTGGAAAAACCTTACTATAAAAATTTACTATACTTTCATATCAACTTTTGATTATAATTATCATAAAAATTAAAGCTTTTTATATTAGCACCCCACATTAAAATTTAATATTAAATTACTTATTTACTCCACTATGCAATGACAATTTTGACCTTATTAGGTTTAAAAAAAAAAAAAACAAGGGTTTTTAAAGACACTCTGAGTCAAGTCCAACTTGAAGAAGAAAAAAAGGCTGTTGAAGACTCTCCAACTTTCGTCTACTAGTATAAATGCATTTTTTGTGGGACTGAGAAACGTAACTAGCTAGCGTTGGCAGGAGTTTTTCCATTGGTTTGTTCGTTTTGCGGCCATTATAGATTGCATGCTTTTAACATGTCATGTAGATATTGTGGAGTGGGGGGTCAACGCATGTACTTTGAGTGCCCAGTTTGGAAACAAAATGAAACCCCTCCCATGACTCTCAGCCTTGCCACTTTTAGATGATTTGAAATATTTTGGCAAATTAAATGTTCAAATGGTTAGATTCAGTTCCTGAAAATTAAAAATGAGTGTTATAAGATTTGAAAAATGTGAGGTGTATAGAAAATGTGGGGTGTATGTACAAAATATAAGGTGTATATTGAGAATGTGGGATGTAGGGGTATTATGAGAAAGTATGTAGGATGTATTAAAATAATTTTTAAGTGAAAAAAAATGTATAATGTATTAAGTATGTAGGATTTATTTAACAATTTGTAAGGTGTTAATATAATAAGCTAATTTTAAAAGGTGATACATTCTGTAAAAGTCCAAATTTGAATTATTTCTCAATCTCCGGGTCGGCAGCAATCCAAACAAATCTGAGGGTCGAAGCGGAAGTGAGCGAGAGACGACTAAAGGGAGACTCGGCAGCAACGAGTTCATACATTGAAAGGATCTAAATAAGCGTTACAAGAAAAAAAAGTTGACCCGCGTAAATCTACTCTCGGCGTGTCCGGGTTTTCCCACCAACCAAACGGAGAGAAAGCGGTGCCGGAGAGACCAGACCAGATCGGATGGCGGTCGGAACTGCGCACTCGCGGTACGTGAAGCTGATGAATGATCAAGCGCCGGCGAGCTCAATCAGCACATCGAAGTTCCTCAGGTTTCTCTCTCTCCCTCTCTCTAGTCGGATTCGTTGAAATATCTATTAATTTGACATGGGTTTGCTCTGAAAACTCCGCAGCTAATATCCCATTTGTTTTCCTGTATGCTTTTGCATCAAAGTCAACACAATTATTATACGTCGTTGTCGTTCACGTAAATCAAATATAAAGTGTTTACAAGAAAAAAATAAATACTATTGTTTTACTTGTGTGGAGATAACAAGCATTGGAATGTTGTCAGCTAAAGACAAGAAAGCCTACTGTTAGAGAATTATACAAAGAAAACAGATGACACAAAAACTACTGGTAGCGAGTCGCATGACACGTAGTCCAACCACAGAAGCTTGTATGCTATTATCCAAAATCCTGCAACTTCTGTGGTGCTCCTTAATCTCTTTTCTTCTACTAATCCAATCCCAAAATCTCCAATCGAGCTTGCGCGAGTCATAGTTCTTCATCGCCAACCACAACCAAACCATCTGTGCGCAACACATATTTTCAATCATGAACGACACAGTTGACAAACTTGTTATCTTCCTGGCAAAGAGAGACGGCATTGACAAGCTTGTCAAAACCTTCCAATACATCTCCAAGATTGCGCACTGGCACGCCGAGGCCAAAAACCCCGAAATCGCACAGCGAGCCAAGCAGTGGGAAGTTGCCTCCGGGCTTAGCCGGAAGGCCTTTCGAACGGGTCGGTTTCTCACGGGATTCAATGCGTTAAGAAGAAGCCCTGGATCAACCCCTACGCTTCGGTTCCTAGCTGTTCTTGCTAATGCAGGGGAGATGGTCTACTTCTTTTTCGACCATTTTCTCTGGCTGTCCAGAATCGGGACTCTGAGCCCGAATCTGGCGCAAAAGATGAGCTTTATATCAGCGTTTGGTGAGTCGTTCGGGTACGTTTTCTTCATCGTTTTGGATTTCATTGCACTGAAAGAGGGTGTGGAGGCAGAGAAGGTTGCTGCCTTGGAGGACACGTCTGCAGAGACGAAGAGCGAGAGTTTGAGGAAGATTAGGGGTGATAGAGTGATGAGATTAATGGCAGTAGCGGCTAATGTTGCGGATTTGGTCATCGGAATTGCGGATATCGAGCCTAATCCGTTCTGTAATCATGCAGTCACTCTTGGGATTAGTGGTTTGGTGTCTGCGTGGTCTGGTTGGTACAGAAACTGGCCTTCATAAGTGAAGTGATTAAGCTCTTGTTAATTATGTTTGGAGTTCAAGTTTGTTAATTCAGTATCTCTAATGCATACTGCGTCATTATATAAAAGATTAATTATGTTCATGGATGGTGTTTAATCAGATGTTTAAAATCAACAACCCTTCTCTTCTACCATATACCATCTTCAAGGAGTTTCTTAGGCCTCTGAAAGGGTGGACTGCCATGATGAAGCCAACAACTGATCACCTTTTAATTAAAAATAAAAAAAAAATTTCTTAGACTCAAATTCTAAACTCTCATATATTGGTCATCTACATTTGACCAAAAATTTAGAGGAATTTGCATTTGAGATGACCCTTACTAAGAGGTTTTGGACCGACCTCTCTCCCTCTAAGAATAAACAATTTAACTCATTAACGTTATCATTTGTAATAAAAAAAATAATCATAACTATATTTGTTCAAATTTATTCAGACTTATTTTAATCCAAAAATAAGCGACACGTTGTATCCAATCTAAATAGTCGTCAAAAGGACGACATGACGTAAAGAAACCAAGTACGTCTCTTGAAACGAGCCACAGTTTTCGTGGGAAATCGAAAAGTCGTATTACATCAAATGATGGGAATAGTGATGGGGAAATTTGAAAAATAACAAAACTACGCATGGACCCTATATAGAATATAATTACCCTTTTAAGTTTACGATAATTATAATCAAAAGTTGATATGAAAGTACTAATATACCCTTAATAACTAAAATTCCTCTTTTACTCTTAACTGTGAAGCCTTGTTTCTTTCATCTTCCTAATTAGGATTGTATTAGCTTCATGACTAAGTTGGATTAGCTTTACTTGTACTAAGCACTATAAAAATAGTGAAGACAGCCTCCCTGTCTGCCTCCACCGCTTCATTTTTTTGCAAGTCGACTTTTGTCTTGTAGTCGTCGAACTCGATCAAGTTTATCCGCCTTTTGCTTCGGACGATTGTTCACGACGTGGGGCGTGGACTGACGAAGTTGAAAAGACAAAGATGGTTGTAAATGGCAGTAAAAAGACATTCCATCCGTATTTTATTTATTTATTTTTTTGAAAGACCTTACTATAAAAATATGCTATACTTTCAAATCAACTTTTAATTATGATTATCATAAAATTTAAAAGGTGATACATTATGTAAATGTCCACATCCAAATTTTAATTATTTTCTCAAATCTCCGGCCCGGCAGCAATCCAAAAAAATTTGAAGGCCGAAACGTAAGTGAGCGAGAGCGACTAATGGGAGACTCGGCAGCAACGAGTTCATACATTGGAAGGACCTAAATAAGCGTTACAAGAAAAAAAAATTTGACCCGCGTAAGTCTACTTTCGGCCAGTCCGGGTTTTCCCACCAACCAAACAGAGAGAAGGGGGTGCCGGAGAAACCAACATGGGGCACACATGCTCGTGATTAATTTAAGCTCCAAATTGCCAAAAGTGTCTTGAAAAGCAAAGAAAAAGTAAAGAAAATAACAAGAAAATTTATCAGATGACACGATCTAGAGAAAGCTAGATATAATTTCTGGTACAAGGCAACACAGCCAGGATATGCAAAAATTTTTTTTTAACTATTGTTAATTATTGTTGTTGCTTACTTTTATTTTATGTTTCAGTCAATATTTGAAGAATCCGACAAACATACAAGACATGCAAAATGAAAAACAAACCGTAAATATTATTCATATAAGAGAATTGAAGTGTATATAAAAGGAAATGAAATGAGATACAACTAGATAACCATAAAAGCTTTTTCAAACAATAAAACCGCACCAAAACCGTTTAAAACAAAACCAAACCGAACCAAATGATTTGGTTTCATTTTGGTTTTAATATCAAAACCGCATCGCACCGCACCAAATCACAAAAACTTACGATTTTAGTTTCGATTTAACTTAAAACCACACAAAATCAAACCACACTCCAGTGTCAAGATTCCAAGACATGCCAATGCCATGCATCAAAGTGACCCTTATTAATTAAATATAGAATTTTTTTCAAACTACTAGGTAAGTTCCTAGACATCTACCATTTCTCTCTCCTCTCTCCTCTCTCCTCTCTCCTCTCTGCAAGGCATCTCCCTTATTAATTAAATATAGAATTTTTTTCAAATTACTAGGTAAGTTCCTAGACATCTACCATTCCCCTCTCCTCTCTCCTCTTTGCAAGGCATCTCCTGATTCTCCCATTTCGCTCTCCTCATCTCTCTATATCTCCAAGACATCTCCTGATTCCTGTCTCTACTACCATTTATCCCTCTATGTCTCCAAGACATCTCCCATTTCTCTCTCCTCTCTCTGCTACTATTTATCCCTCTATATCTCCGAGACATCTCCCATTTCTCTCTCCTCTCTTCTCTCTCCTCTCTCTACTACCATGACATCTGCCATTTCTCTCTCTTTGCCTGTCTATATATCTGCATGCAAACCATTTCCTGAGCATTCAAATACCACTTCCATTCAAACCATCAAATCTCACAAACCATATCATCATCAAGTACCTCTACCTCCCGATATATCTCCATCTCTACCTACCTTTGTGCAGAATAAAATGAGTTCTGTTGTTAATACTGCTGGGGATCAGTACTTAATGCCTTTTCTCCTTGAAGTTACAGTAACCCCAACCCAACGGCTCAAGCTTCTGATAATTGGTCCCATGACTCCCATCGATCGAAATCGCGATTCCAATCGTGACCTAGAAGCCGCAAGGCAAGAAGTTGCAGATGGAAGGACTAACAATAAGTACGACAACAACTTAGACTGGGCAACAATAATCGTAGTGTTCTGCTTTACTGCGGCGATTGAAATAGCATTTCTCCCATTCCAAGGTCCCACTGGCCACCTCCATCTTCCTGTAATCTTTTATTTTCTTGGGCTCTCAATCTTACTTGCCTTCACTTGTATCTTGGTAAACAAGTTTATTCATTTTAGCTACTGTTTCGCTAGAATAACAATTGCCCCGATTTTCCATCAACTTGGCCTCTTCTTTGGAGTCACAGCCTTCTTTATATCCATCTCCATCCCATTTCCTTTGTGGTTCAAATGTGCTACCATGTCTATCTACATCGTCACCTTCCTCCTTGTAGTTCTCTGCAATCTTCACTTCAATAAATATTACAAAACTCATGGTTTTAAGTATCCTAACCCTGCCATTGACCCTGCAGTAGAATCATGTGGAGGCAGTACTAGCACCATCGAAGATCAAGCATGTATCATTTGTATTGAGTGACGAGAAAAAACTGTCATGTAATTAGTGTGTGTTATATACACACACACTAATTAGTGTACTGCAGTACTAGTAGCTTTCTCATATTTGTCGTAGGTTTTTCAAATGTCAACTATTGTTTATTCTGATTGGGGTTTAGTTGTCTGCAGCCTCTCACTAATGCTATTAGTGAACATATTTATAGATAACTTAAAGAACAAACGTTGCATAATATACTCCTATCATTGAAGAAGATTACAACTACAACTGGAATGATGGGCAGCCGGAAGCCCTTTAACAAACTTACCAATTGTCCTAATAAAAGTCTATTACTTTCCCCTTGAATATTCATTCCAGTGAACTAAAACATTTTTTCAATCATTGAAAAGCTTTCGAAACATCACTATTCCGGAATTTAGATCCTCCATCTTAGTCTGGCAAATACCCAAAACCATGGCTATTCAGTTCTATTATATACCATCTTAAAGAAGTTTCTTAGACTCAAATTCTAAATTCTCATATATTGGTCATCTACATTCGACCAAAAATTTAGAGGAATTTGCGTTGGAGATGACCCTTACTAAAAGGTTTTGGACTGACCTTTCTCTCCCCTGAGAATAACTAATTTAACACACTAACACTATCATTTGTAACAAAAAAATTAGTCATAACAATGTTTGTTCAGATTTATTCGGACTTACTTTACTTTGAAAACGAGCGACATGTTGTATTCAATCTAAATAGTTGTCAAAAGGACGACATGACTTAAAAAAACCAAGTCCGTCTCTTGAAACAACATTGTATGCAGCCACAATTTTCGGGGGAAATAAAAAAGTCGTGTTAGATCAAATGATGGGAATACTGAGAGGGAAATTTGGAAAATAACAAAACTATGGACCCTATATGGAATATAATTACCCTTTTAAGTTTATGATAATTATAATTATAATCAAAAGTTGATATAAAAGTACTAATATACCCTTAATGACTAAAATCCTCCTCTTTTACTCTTAACCGTGAAGCCCCGTTTCTTTCATCTTCTTAATTAGAATTGAATTAGCTTCATGACTAAGTTGGATTAGCTTTACTTGGACTAAGCACTATAAAAATAGTGAAGCTAGCCTCCCCGTCCCCCTCCGCCGCTCCATTTTTTTGCAAGTTAACTTTTGTCTTGTAGTCGTTGAACCCAATCGAGTTTATCCGCCTTCTGTTTCGGACGGCGGTTCATGACGTGGGGCGTGGACTGACGAAGTTGAAATGATAAAGATGGTTGTAAATGGCAGTAAAAAGACAATCGATCCTTATTTTATTTATTTATTTTTTGGAAAAACGTTACTATAAAAATATACTATACTTTCATATCAAATTTTTATTATAATTATCATAAAATTTAAGGCTTTTTATATTGGCACCCCGCATTAAAATTTAATATTAAATGACTTATTTACCCCACTATACAATGACAATTTTGACCTTATTAGGTTAAAAAAAAATATTTCTAAATACATCCCAAATCATTTTTAGCATATTATTTATCTTTTCAACTATGAAAACCCTCACACCCTCTATTGTTGAACAAAACAAAACCCTAACCAATAAAATTACAAATATGTTGATTGAGAAAAATTGCTTTTGACAAATGGGTTGTTGAAGACTCTCTGAGTCGATCCCAACTTGAAGAAGAAGAAAAAGAAAAAACAAGGGTTGTTAAAGGCACTCTGAGTCAACTCCAACTTGAAGAAGAAAAAAAGGTTGTGGAAGACTCCAACTTTCATCTACAAGTATAATAATTGCATTTTTTGTTGGACTGAGAAATGCGGCCATGATTATAATACTTGTCCATTCTGCTGTAAGGGTCGCCACCCTCGGGGCAAAGCGTTTTGCGGCCATGATAGGCTGCATGCTTTTAACACGTCATGTAGATACTGTGGAGTTGAAGGTCGACACATGTATTCTGAGTGTCCAGATACAAAATGAAACCCCTCCCATGACTCTACGCCTTGCCACTTTATGATTTGAAATCTTTCAGCAAATTAAACGTTCAATTAGGTAGATTCAGTTCCTGAAAATTAAAAATGAGTGTTATAAAATTTGAGAAATACGGGATGTATAGAAAATGTGAGATGTACATACAAAATATAAGGTGTATATTGAAAATGTGGGGTGTGTTGGAATTATAGGAAAGTATGTTGGGTATATTAAGATAATTTTTAAGTGAAAAAATAAATATGAAATGTATTAAGTATGTGAGGTTTATTCAATAGAGTACTAATATAATAAGCCAAATTTAAAAGGTCATACATTCTGTAAAAGTAACAATTTTAAGTATTTTCTCAAGTCTCCGGGTCGGCAGCAATCCAAACAATCTGAAAGCCGAAGCGGAAGTGAGCGAGAGACGACTAAGGGGGAGACTCGGCCTGGACGAGTTCTTACATCGGAAGGGCCTAAATAAGCGTTACAAGAAAAAAAGTTGACCCGCGTAAATCTACCCTCGGCCAGTCCGGGTTTTCCCACCAACCAAACAGAGAGAAAGCGGTGCCGGAGAGACCAGACCAGATCGGATGGCGGACGGAACTGCGCACTCGCGGTATGTGAAGCTGACGAAGGATCAAGCGCCAGCCGAGGACATTAAGCCCGGCGAGCTCAATCAGCCCATCGAAGTTCCCCAGGAATCTCTCTCTCCCTCTCTCTAGTCGGATTCGTTGAAATATCTATTAATTTGACATGGGTTTGCTCTGAAAACTCCGCAGCTAATATCCCATTTGTTTTCCTGTACGATTTTGTATGAATTGCGTTTCGGTTCAAACTTGTGTTGGTGGGATTTGGTTTGGATTGTTGAATTTTACCTTTTTTTTTTTTTTATGTATTTCTGATTAGAAGGTCTTTGGGGGATTGAGGAAATTAGTTGATCTTTATTTTTTTTTCTTATGGTGTGGAATTTTCAGGTATTTTTTTGTATAATGCCATTTCTGGGATAAGGGGCAATCAGATTTTTGAAGTCGTGATTAAACCCTCTTTGGTACATCAAAGCATTTTTCAGATCTAAGATTTTCGTAGCTTTCGAAGAAAAATGAGTACATGGTTTTGGCTACAACTTGAATGTGGTTGATAAATTACATTTGTAGTGTAGGTTTATGGGGTAGATGGTGATGAATTTGTGAATTTTACATGTGACGTTGTTTCCGTTGGAGGATTGTAACGAATGCGAACAGCCTTTACCCGAGAGCTATCAGCCCCCTGGAGATGAGCCTTGGACAACCTGAATTTTTGGCTGTGCTGAAGATAGAGAAAGTTGTAAGTTGATATGGAAAATATCTTTTCGATTCTCGTACAGCGATATGGTATTGAGTTTATGGGAACTACCTTTGGTTTCCATTAAGTAAGGTACTTTTTCTTTGTTGGGGGATTTGGCTTCCCGCCGAGCTTGCCTCATAAAAACACGGTCTACTCATAACACCATGCCCGTGCCTTTTGTTACCTCTTCAGGCTTGACAGGGTTATTTTGCACTTGTGTTCTGTTTGGGCGCAATGTTAAGAGCCTAAGAGACGATACCCCTTGGAACAGACCATGCATTTGTCATGCCGTGTGGTTGAGCACACTGCAATTAGATTTTCCTGAATAAACTAAGAATCATGTGAACTAATTATAATAATTTGATTTGAATACGATTTAATATTTCTCAATTACACATGAAGGTAGAATACGACTAAATTGTAGTACTAAATGACCACACTGTGATTAGTTAATTTTGCTAAACTCAAGCCCATTGCAATCACGAGTATTTTAGTGCACTTAGTCACATGTTGTTACAACTTCAGATGTATGTCATGAATAAGAGTGACTTTAATACTGATATGCCAAGATGTCAAAAGGTATAAATCAGAATTAATGTTAAAAAAAAGATAGTAATATTGTTTTCAATCGAAGAATCAATTCTGATGTGGCATGACGCGAACTGACTGTCATCACCCTGGTTGCCAAATTGATAGCAACTTCAAATTATTTTTTAATTGACTATTAAATATTTTCTTACCCTTCATATTATTACTTTTGCTCTGTAAATATTTATTATTGATTATTAAATAGTCGTATTTTGACATATCGGATGGTGATCAAAATTTTTAAATGTTAAAATGCTACATGTGACATTTTTTTTAAAGATGCTCTTAATAATTTTTCTTTACATATTACGATACTATATTTTAAAAGGTTAAGATATGAATAAGTTCTAAGTAGAGTGAAAATTGGACAACGTCAGTAAATTATACAATAAATAGGTCATATATAATCAGATATCAAACTTAGCACAAGTAGTTCACGTGAATCAAACATAAAATCTCTTATTTATAAGAAAAAATAAATATTATTGTTCTACTTGTGTGGAGATAACAAGCATTGGAATGTTGTCTGCTACAGACAAGAAAGCCTACTGTTAGAAAATTATACAAAGAAAACAGATGACACAAAAACTACTGGTAGCGAGTTGCATGACATGTAGTCCAACCACAGACGCTTGTATGCTATTATCCAAAATCCTCCAACTTCTGTGGTGCTCCTTAACCCCGTTTCTTCTACTAATCCAATCCCAAATTCTCTGAGCCAGCGCGATTCGTACTTCTTCACTGCCAACCACAACCAAACCATCTGCTACACAAACTTTCAATCATGAACGACACAGCTGACAAACTTGTTATCTTCCTGCCAAAGAGAGATAGCATCGACGAGCTTGTCAAAACCTTCCAGTACGTCTCCAAGCTTGCGCACTGGCACGCCGAGGCCAAAAGCCCCGAAATCGCGCAGCGAGCCAAGCAGTGGGAAGTTGCCTCCGGGCTTAGCCGGAAGGCCTTTCGAACGGGCCGGTTTCTCACGGGAGTCAATGCGTTGAGAAGAAGCCCTGTATCAACCCTGTATCAACCCATACGCTTCGGTTCCTAGCTGTTCTTGCTAATACAGGGGAGAAGGTCTACTTCTTTTTCGACCATTTTCTCTGGCTGTCCAGAATCGGGACTCTGAGCCTGAATCTGGCGTGAAAGATGAGCTTTATATCAGCGTTTGGTGAGTCGTTCGGGTACTTGTTCTTCATTGTTTTGGATTTCATTGCGCTGGAAGAGGGTGTGGAGGCAGAGAAGAAGGTTGCTGCCTTGGAGGACAAGTATGCGGAGACGAAGAGCGAGAGTTTGAGGACGATTAGGGGTGATAGAATGATGAGATTAATGGCAGTAGGGGTTATGTTGCGGATTTGGTCATCCGAATCGAGCCTAATCCGTTCTGTAATCATGTAGTCACTCTTGGGATTAGTGGTTTGGTGTCTGCGTGGTCTGGTTGGTAGAGAAACTGGCCTTCATAAGTGAAGTGATTTGAGGTCTTGTTAATTGTGTTTGGAGTTCAAGTTTGTAAATTCAGTATCTCTAATGCATACTGCATCGTTATATAAATGATTAATTATGTTCATGGGTGGTGTTTAATCATATGTTTAAAATCAACAACCCTTCTCCACTACTCAGGGCTAGACCAGGCCCAGTACGGGCAGGACGACCGTCCAGGACCCAAAAAAATTAGGGGTACCAAAATTATTAGTGTGGCATATTATATACGTTTTCATAGGAGTACAAATTTATAAAATTTGGTTTAATGATAAAGAAAGTTAACTAGATCTGATGATTTTGTTATTTGAAATTAATGAGGAGGTATTGGGTTCAAAACATCATGTGTGCATATTTGAATTCCAATTTTTACAAATTTCTTTTCATAACAGTATAAATTTATAAAATTTGGCTAAATGATTAGAAGTTTAATTAGAAGCAATGATTTTTGTATTTAAAATTAACGAGAGGTCCTAAGTTTGAAATGCTATGTGCATGTTTATTTTTTTTAATTTTTACGAATTTTTGTTTGGTTGTTAATTTATTTTTAATTACTAGCTAGCAACTATGCAGGTCTATTTTTTTAACATTCGTTTCAATTCAAGTCTAATCTTCAACAAAAGGTAATACAAAGACTAAATTTTTAGACCAAATTTGCAAATCATACTCACGATTTATACAAAAACACTTTAAAAGTTCAGATGGAAGACAAAACTCATAATCTATCTACTTGTAAGTCTGAAGTTTTTGGGTTTCCTTCTCTATACATAATAAATTAGTTTTGTCGTGTTTCTAAATTACTAAGTTTGAAGTGCTTTTATAAATATAATTTTATCATTATCTTACGTGTAAAAACAAATAATTTTTTTATATGAAGTGGGGCATATTTTTTGGATTTGCCTCGGGCCTCAAAAATCTCTGGACCGCCCCTGCCACAAATCATATATTTATGTATATGATTGGAGCCGGCAAATATTAAATGTAACCTCAAAGTATATATTTACGTATATGTATGATTTGTCATTTTCTGTGTGAATGAATAAATGCAAATCTTAATTTCCAAATCTGCCTCACCGAATAGATCCATATTTAAAGTGAAGCGATTAAATATTTTTTTGTTTGAATGAAGTTTGATCAAAGAAAATGCATCTACCATCCAAATGAACCAAGAGTGATTCACATGACAAAATGTCTAGGGTATGAGCAAGAACCCTAATCATGGCTTACGCGTATGTAATTTGAGGGCTATTTGATTTCTTCAAATTCTCTGTATATCATAATGGTGTATTGATTAAAATTTTAATACATTTTATCCTTCATGATAATTGCATAATAGGCTAAAAAGAGAATTCATATTCATGTCAAAACGGCTGACTCACTACAATATCCAATGTCAAGATTCCATGACATGTGAATGCCATGCATCAAAGTGATCTGTACTACTTAAATATAGAATTTGCTTTTTTCAAATTACTAGGTAAGTTCCCATACAACTTCCACTTCTCTCTCCTCTCTTCAAGGATAGATTTTTCCATCTCTCTTTCCTCTCTTCAAGGATAGATTTTTCAATGTGCTTGTAACATGAAATGGTACATCACGTATCATTATATAAATGATGAAATATGTGTGTTGAAAAGTTAATAACTTAAAAAAATACAATTTTCCACTACTTATATAAAAATATGTGTTATACCACCCGTGTTCTGATCACATCCATGTTCCGATCACAAGAAAAAATTTCTCATCTCCAAGACGTGTCCATTTGTCTCTCCTCTCTCTACTACCATTTCTATTTCCATTACAATTCCCAGACTCCTACCATTTATCTTTCCTCTCTCTATTATATTTCTCCACTACTATTCCCAGACTACTACCATTTCTCTTTCCTCTCTCTATTATATTTCTCCACTACTATTCCCAGACTACTACCATTTCTCTTTCCTCTCTCCACTATCAAATGGTATAATCATACCCAATTTCAATAACCACAGAAGTAGCAATTCTCTCTCCCAATCCCAAAATGCCAGTACCATGCAGATGCTTCAAAGCCAACGTGATGCTCCTTAGGGCTGGTTTGGTATTGCTGTGCTTTGAAAAAAAACTACTTCTGCTGTGCTGTGAGAATAAGCAGCTGTGAAATAAAGCAGCAGAGTGTTTGGTAAACTTTTTTGTAAAAGTGCTTTTGAAAAAAAAAAAACAGTATTAGAGTGTTTGGTAAACTTTTATGTAAAACAGATGTGAAAAAAAGCCGGTTTTTCAAATCTAGGTTTTGCAGCTTCTTGTTTTTGGCTTTTTTTCATCCAAAACTGTGAAAAAAAGCTAAAGCTGAGTGTTTACCAAACACAAAAATAGCTCCCAGCTTTTTTTGATAGCAGCTTTTTTCAGAATCACCTCAGTACCAAACCAGATCTTAGTCAGATGACCAAGATATTGGCAAATACCACTACCATTGACTACTATTATTTCTCTTTCATCCTTTTCTTTCCTCCATTTCTCTCTCCTCTCTCTGCTACCACATATTGGCGAATAACACTACCATTTCTCTTTCCTCCTTTTCTTTCCTCCATCTATTTACCACCATTTCTCTTTCCTGTCTACTACCATATATTGGCGAATAACGCTACCATTTCTCTTTCCTCTCTCTACTACCATTTATCTTTCCTCCATTACGCTACTACAATTTCTCTTTCCTCATTCTCTCTCCTCCTTTTCTTTCCTCCATTTCTTTCCTCCATTACGCTACTACAATTTCTCTTTTCTTATTCTCTCTCCTTCTTTTCTTTCCTCCATTTCTCTGTCCTCTTTCCTCTCTCCACTACCATTTCTCTTTCCTCCTTTCTCCTCATTTTCTTTCCTCCATTTCTCTGTACTATTTCCTCTCTCTACTTCTTTTCCTCCTCTCTCCTCATTTTCTTTCCTCCATCTCCCTCCCTTCATCCATTTCTCTTTCCGCTTTCCCTCCTCTACTTACCATTTCTCTCTCCACCTCTCCAAGACATCTGCCATTTCTCTCTCCTCTCTCTACTGCCATTTCCCTCTCCATCTCTCCAAGACAATGAAGACATCTACCATCTCTCTCCTCTATGTACTCCCATTTCTCTCTCCTCTCTCTACCACCATTTGTCTCTCTGCTACGACATCTGCCATTTCTCTCTCTACGCAAACATCTGCCATTTCTCTCCATTTGTCTTTCTATATATCTGCATGCAAACCATTTCCTGAGCATTCAAATACCACTTCCATTCAAACCATCAAATCTCACAAACCATATCATCATCAAGTACATCTACCTCCCGATATATCTCCATCTCTACCTACCT